TTGGGAACGCAAGCCTCCTGACATCTGATTCCTCTGCCCTGGCCCTCCTAAGTGCAAACGCCTAGAATGTGTGAAGGAGGAGCCATCCATCTGTGCTCCCGTGGCATTCTGGGCATCCCTCTGTCCTAACTCCAACATGGGGGTGCTAAGGGTTGTTCATGTGCTGGTCTGTCCCCAACAACTTCATCCTATTCACCTTTCTATGGTGACAACCCAGCAGTGTCTGGTGGACAGTAAAGCTCCTATGTTTGCTAAGACCTTGAGTGGGACCCCACAAAACCATTCTCATAATACAACCAAACTTGACCCAGCAAAGCAAGAAGGAGAGACATCTCTGTCATTCTTACACATAGGCGTACACACAGGTGTACACGCAGCTAACAATAGTGGTTCGATTTTTTTTTTTGTCTTTTTTTTGTCTTTTTCCATGTCCGGCAACGGATCGCAACCCTCAGTGTTGCCCCCGTACCGGACTGGGGACCGGCAACGGGATCGCAACCCTTAGCGTTGCTCCCGCACCTCGCTCAGCCAGTGAGCGGGAACCGGTCTGTATGTGGGATCCGAACCCTCGGGCGGGAGCGCTGCCGCGCTTCCCAAGCGGCGTACTTATCCAGTGCGCCACCGGGCCGGCCCGATAGTGGTTCGATTTTAAGAGAACATGCATAAAAGTTTGCAGGGCACATAAACAAGGACCAGCCTATAATGGGGATTAGCCTACTTACTTACTACCGCCGTAAGGCAGACGGTATGTGCTGAAAGACACAAGAAGCACTCTTCAAAGAGAAAGTGCTTCAAAAACGTGGTTTCTGAAAGGACCAACCCAGCTAAGTGAGGCATGTGCGAGTATTCCAAGTGCTTACAATGCACTTGAACGAGTCCCGGCCCAGATGAATTCTATCACAGGTGATGAAACTCCACGACACAGCCTGAAAGTGCTGTGTGCTGGGACCCAGGGAAATGCGCTGGGGCAGCACCATTCAGGCTTTGCTAATGTGCACTGCGTCACCCAGGGGACTCGGCAGGTTCTCACCAGCAGGGCCAGGGCAAGCCCAAGTCTGCATTCCTGACAGTCCAGGTCCTGCCTGCTGAGGCTGCCGGGCCCCAGGCCACACTGAGAGCAGAGAGGTGCCAGGGAACCAGGTGCCAGTGATCCACCGCCAATGATTAAAAAGAGAAAAAGAAAAAAAGGAACATAATGTGCAGAGAGGGCAGACTGGAAACCACAGATGCGAGACACTGGTTTCCTAACAGTAAACATTTTGAACCAGCTTATGCATCTCTGGGTAGGGAACTGGTTAAACCAGCAATGGTCCCCTCATGTAACACAACACTACACGATGGCTAAGGAGGAAGAGGTAGGTCTGTGTGAGTGACTTGGAAAAATTGCTAAGATATACTGTTGGGCGGAAAAGGCTAGTCAAAGCAGGGTTTAAAAAAAACAAAAACAAAAAACAAAAAAAAACCATGGCACTTCTAAGAAAAAAGTTATATGTGTATGTAAAAAATCATTCAAAAGTTCAGGAAAAGAGCCGGCCCGTGGCTCACTCGGGAGACTGTGGTGCTGAGAACACCAAGGCCCCAGGTTCAGATCCTATATAGGGATGGCCAGTTAGCTCACTGGTTGAGCGTGGTGCTGACAACACCAAGCCAAGGGTTAAGATCCCCTTACCGGTCATCTGTATTTAAAAAATTAATTAATTAATTAAAAGTTCAGGAAAAATGTCCAGGAACATGCCAATTGCTACGTGTAGCTTACTCTGGGGATCGGGCCACAGTGAAGTACACTTGACATTTCTCTATCATTTGAAGTTTGGGAGGGGGCTGGGCTTTGTCTATTTTACAATGAGCAGGTATAACTTTTGTAATTGGAAGAAATCATAGAAAGGACAGCTTTGTTTTTTAAGTGTTTCCCGCAAGCCACATGTGAGTCATGCAGATAAGAGGTTTGGACAAGAACATTTCTATGGCTAACATCACACAAAAAGAGAAGTTCCTCCAGGTCCACAGCCGCCATCATAGGAGCTGGCCCTTAGACTAGAGATGAGTGTCTATTTCTGGCTACATGTCTATATACTTTTGACTGTAAGTCAATTTTTAAAAATGTCAACTGCCAGAATTACCCTGGAACATCCTGGCTTAACAGTAATGCACACAGAGAGGACTGTCATATCTGCTGCCACTATGATGGCCCCTGAAGTAGCAATTTGCAGTTTGCTGGCAACTCTCAAAAGGCAGGGTCCCAAATGCAACCCACCAGGTAGCACATTACTGACAGCAAGCCTGGCATGGCTAGCACCTCCCTCCTGGTGGTCCTAGCCTTCACTGAGGGGTGCAAACACCTCAGCAGCTTTTGCAGTAGCTCTGCCACTATGTCATACTGAGTTGCAATACGCCCCAACCCCCAACTCTTTGAGTTCTCTGAGATGTGTTTAGCCATGTCTTCCCTGCCGTTTATGAACCTGCATGCACATTTTAAGTGTCTCCCCATGAGAAACTCAAGTCTCATTCGAGTCAGCCCGATCACTGAGCCCATCTAGACAGCTGAGGATTCTGAACGGTCACTAACCTACTTGCTATTCCTCCTACTTTGCATTTCTCCCCACATGTGCTCACCATGACAAGTGTCCTCATGCAAATAAATACTAAGCAGGGCTTGGGGGAGAGCGAGCCTCCCAAGGCCTCTGTGTGGCTGGAGCTGATCCATGCTGCAGCCAGTACTGTGAGTTAGGACCACACCTAACTACACTGTTCCGACAGCACCTGCCCACTCTTCCGCATCTGGTCTATTAAGAACAGACTCGGAGACCGGCAAACGTGCTGAAAATCTGTCTATACTAAACTTACAGAAGGCAAGGATGAGACTGATAGAACTTCTCCAGGGATTCACAGCAGTTGCCAGTAACGCCTCTCTTTTCCGAAAGCACAAAAGCTATTCTTTCCAGAACATGGCTTGAGATTAAAGTCAAACCCTCCCATTCTAATCATTTCCTCATCTACCTTCTCCTACCTTTGGAAATCGGGATGCTTGCCTGTCTGCAGCACCTCTTCCACCCTGCAATTCCTCAAGGAATGGCAGCAATTCCATCCGCAGATGATCTCAGTAGTTTCTGGACACATGTTCACCAACTCTAAGCAGAGACTACAGCATTTAGAGAAGCTAGGCACTCTACTATATCCTCGCCCACCTGGGACTTCAATTCTCTCATCCCAATGTTTCCTTTGCCCTTGATCTTCTATCCTCTATCTCCTTACTCAACACAAACATGTCAGAGGGACTACCTTATCCCCACTTCTTCCGTGCTTCACGATCCAAAGCTCATGGCAGATTTTCACTGTCCTGAAACTATTCTTAAAGCTCTAGATGCTTTTTGGATGTATATCCTTAGTTTCTTTCTCTCCTCTCTGTGGTCTCTTTTTTCCTCATCTGGCTCACTTGCAGTCATACTCAGAATCCTGCTTTTGAGACTCAGTTAGTCCTCCGGATTTGCTACCCTTTCAGTCTCAGACCACAAGATCAAACTCTTCTGGAGCTTCCTGAAACACTAAAATTCTAGGGTATGTGTCTGACTCCTTCCAGCCTTCTTGTTTCCCGACTTTCCAAAGTTTGAAGATGACAAGCTTGCAGATTACACCTGTGATCAAATATATTACCTGAAAAAGATATTTGCTTTTTCCAGCTCCATCCCCCACCCTTTCCAACTTGGACCCAGAGAGTCCAAGGTCATCTGAGCAACTAAGATTTTCTCCTGAAAAGCTAAAACCAGACAGGTAATCATCCTAATGCCTAGTGAAGCAGTACGTACCAGGTAACCAGAGGGCAAGAATCCCTTAGGCACTGAGAATCTTGAGTCTTTGGGCACAAAACCAAGTGGAGAATTACCATCCGTGAGCCTGGCCTGAGAATCCACATGCCCACTTGCTGCTATGGTCTGAATGGCCCCCAAAATTCGTGTGTTGAAACTTAATCCCCATGAGGTAGTATTAAGAGGTCAGGCCGTCCACCCTCATGAACGGACTAGCACCTTATAAAAGGCTGGAGGAGCCAGCGTCAACTTTGGTCTCATCCTTCCACCCCTTCCACCATGTAAGGGTGCTGCATTCCTCCCTCCAAAGGTGGCAGCAACAAGGCGCCATCTTGCAAACAGAGCAGCTCCCACCAAACACCAAACCTGCTGGTGCCTGGATCTTGGACTTCCCAGCCTCCAGAAGAGAAAGAAATAAATTTCTATTGTTTAGAAATGACCTAGTCTCAGGTATTTTGTTACAGCAGCACAAACAGACTGAGACACGTGGCTTCTGAGCACTGACCCACCCAGCAAGCACCTCTCCCATCCCTGTGCACACTGACATCTACTTCTCACCAAGGCCCTGCTGATCAGAACCCCTGTGGGAGGCAGAAGGCAGCAAACAGGGCCATAGACTGACACAGGAGCTTTCTATCAGTCTCATCTTGTCCAATTAGCCGCCTCCCTGGCCCTGATCAAGGGACTCAGGCTTGCAAAAAAAAAAAAAAAAAAAAAAACCAGAAAAACTCAGTCCAACATGGAGCTCAACTTGCTCCTGTTGCCAGCCTACATCTGGGAAGGCCCTGGGGACAGGGTCGGCGTCAGCCTCTCAGTGCCACTTCCACTCCATGTCCTCTGGTCAGCATCCCCTCCACCAGAAGCTGGACTCCAAAGGTCCTCTCCCAGAGGAGGGAAAGGCCTTGTCACTTACTTCAACCTACATACATACAGACCATGAGATGGTAATGTGTTTGCCCTATGAGAGCATGTGGCAAGCTAGGGTCTTCTGACATCCTGGTCAGCCCTCCGCCACTCTTCACACTGCTTCTGGAGGTCAGGGGGAAACTGCATGGCTCCCCCAGCACTGACAGGGCCTCTGGGTCCAGGCCACAGACTGGGGAGGAGTCAAAGCCACAGGAGGAGACCGACCCTGCCAGCTCCATGTCACTGGCTGGCCCAGGACTCCCTTTACAGCCCCAGCCCCTCCCCACTCACAAGGACAGCAGCAAGGAAAAGCCAGCGATGTAGAGATTCCTCTGGGCGCGGAAGAGCTTCATGTGGAAGTGCTCCAGGGCCCCAGGATTGTTCTGGAGGTTCACCTTTTCTGTCACGTTGTCATACTTCCAAATCTCACGGAAAGCATCTGTGGTGGAGCAGAGGGGAGACACAGGGGCATTCAGCTGTCAAGACCAGGCTATAAAGCGAGACAGGCAACATGCAACAGGTCAACCTCATTTCCACAAATCCATCTCCCCATTTATTCCCACTCTACCCATCCCACTGGTAGGATACTTTATCAGAAGTCCCCACCCTCAGACCTACTCTATCCTCCAGCTTTTCACATGGCAATCCCTGGCCCCATGCTACCCAGCCCATAAGCTTGCTTTACAGTCCAAGATGCTAACCAAGCCTGAGGCGCAACTCCTCCACTTCCCTTTTCCCATGGTGCCCCCAACCACATCTTGTTCCATTATCTCAAGCCGGGCCAGGCCATCAGCCACCCCAAGGATAAGCCAGCATGGTCCAGTTTACCAAAATGCCTGCTCAGAAGGCATGAGCTGCCTAGAAGCTAAGACCCACAGATGACTGCTAAAGAGTCAAGGGCTTCAGTTTCTATGCTTTACAATGGGTTTTTTCATCTATAATGTCTTATTCTGACTACAAAAGAAATTTGTGCTCATCAAAAGGTCAAACATATCAAAAATGTAGAAGAATCTCATAAAATAATCACCTTCAGCAACATGTACAGGAAGTATGCAGCCACCGTATCTAAAGTCAGTTCCAGTCACATTACCCTCTGTTATTTGCTTTATAATACACCCATCTCTGAAATTATCTTAAACACATTTCTTGTCCATCTCTTCCAAACTAAGAGTATAAATTCCATGAGAGCAGAGGTCTTTTCTACTGTATGTCCATGGTTCTGGGCAGAGTGGGCATTCAAATAATTGTTGAGTTAAGTAACAGTCTCTGCTCCTGAAAGAGCCACTGCTAGACGTACAGTACTCCAGTTTAAAAACACACTGACACCCATACACTTGTCTGTAAAGTAGAAATGGAACCACACCACACCTACTGCATTTCCCCATTTACCCTGAGACAGACTCTTAAGTCAGTACATAAAGATCTACCTAAAGAAAGCTCTTAATAGACCCTGATGGGAGAGGGGCAAGATATCACTGTATGGGTACCATTTTGTTCTTAATTTCTGGTTTTTTCTTTTTGGTGGCAGGTATAGGGATCGAACCCTGGACCTTCATCAGCACAATGCTGTAACCAACTGAGCTAACTGGCCCAATTTCTGATTTTAGACTGCTTGGTTTTTAAGCTGATCTTTCACTATAAAAATCTGCCTACCCTTTCTGGTGACTTTGTGTTGAATATATACCATGAAGTGAGCATTCTCAAATGCTACCAGGAGTATAAACTGATACAACACACGTGGTACAAAATGCAAAATGTTCCCACCCTCAGGTTCAGCAATTCCACCTCTATGAACTTATCCCACAGAAGCAGTTACATAAATGTGCAATGATTAGTAAAATGCCCATAAAGAGGGAATTAAATTATGGGACAACCATATGCAAGATTATACAATTTTTAAAAAGAATGAGATTGCTATTAAAAGACATCTAAGGCACAATAAGTGGAAAAAGCACAATCCAAAACGGCGTGTATATGATCCCACTGCTGTAAACATTTTAATAAAGATGTCAGCATAGAATACACCTGTGGAGGGCCAACTCTGTGGCGCACTCAGGAGAGTGCGGCGCTGGGAGCGCAGTAGCACTCCCGCTGCGGGTTCGGATCCTATATAGGGATGGCCGGTGTGCTCACTGGCTGAGCGCGGTGCGGCCGGTCACAAAAAAGACAAAAAAAAAAAAGAATACACCTGTGGAGACGCACATAAAAGTATTCATAACGGTTACCTGTGAGACATAGGATTCCAGGGGACTTTAACTTTCTAAGTTCAATTTCTAAATTTTAAAAAATAATTATGTATTATTTTGTAATCAGAAAAACAAGATAAAAAAAAAAAACATGCTTTCTTATACTGCCACCTGCATCCAGGAATCAGACCACCTTGGCTGATGGCCAAGAGAAGACTGGGGACAGGGGACATTGAGCAATACCAGCCAAGTTCCACAACAGAACACAGCCCGCCCTTGCTCCCTCAGATCTCAGCCTGGGTGGGTGGACCCTGCACCCCCATCAACTCCACTCTCCCCGTCAAGATCTGATCCAGCTGGCTATGCACATTACCCTTCACTAAGATCGGCTATTAACTAACACTTCTATCTGTAGAAGCCTCTGCAGACCTCTCTAGATTACGTTTTTTTTTTTTTTTTTTAAAAGATGACCGGTAAGGGGATCTTAACCCTTGACTTGGTGTTGTCAGCACCACGCTCACCCAGCGAGCTAACCGGCCATCCCTATATGGGATCCAAAACCGGGGCCTTGGTGTTATCAGCACCGCACTCTCCCGAGTGAGCCACGGGCCGGCCCTAGATTACGTTTCTTAAGACTAGGATAGAACACAGCCAGTCATCACGGCCATATATCTCTCCAGAACTTCTAAGCAGCTCCTTGATCCCAAAAAAGAATGAAGACTCTGTCAACTACTGGGTTCTACAGAGGCCCACTAAGCTGCACTAAAAAAAACAGAGATGTTTGTGGTGTCTAGTTTGGAGAAGGGCCAAGGCCCTGAGGGAATAATCCCCAGGATGGTCCCTCCCCCTTCCCTAATTCTTGCCCCAACCCTACACCCAAAAGCAAGCATACACACACCCATACCCACGCACAAGCTGGCTTTTCATGGAGCTCACCCCAGGGGTGACACGCATATTCCCTCCCCCTCTTGGCTCAGAGGCTGCTCAGGGAAAGAACCTTGATTGGAAGGAGCTGCCTCTTGTGGCCTTGCCAAGCATTTCACAGTGAGACAGGCAGGCAGCTGGCACCCACCCTATTTGGCTGGGAACTGGTAGGCCACACCTGGCCTGTTCAGAGGCAGTCCTGCCTCGACATATCCCGGCAGGCCCAGAGACATTAGGAAGGAGAAACGCCTGATGCTACAGCTAGTTGGCGGGGCTTTGCACATCCCCCTCGACCACGGCCCCTCACCCCCTGCCACATTTCTGTTAGGGACTCGGGGGGAGAGGAGTGCCTGGCACCTAAGCGGCCATCACAGTTCTGAGACAGGACCGCTGTCCACAGCACAGCCAAGCCAATACTTTGGAGTCCAAGCAGGGGGACACACAGCAAAACAACAAACGTCTAACAGTCAGGCATGAGCTTTATTGATACCTCTTGCCTCCGAACAGGTGCACCACCATCTCGTCATAAAATGTTCACTGCCTTCCACCATCAAACACCCAGCTTCTGGCCTCATCCCTCAACTTGACCTCAAATCAGTTTATCTTTCAAGCCCCCACTAGTGTGCATCTCAGTGCCAGGGTTTGTAGAACTACAGACCTGGAAGGACCCGGAAAGATCTCAAGTCTATACCAGATCCAGAGAGATCTGGGATTTGTCCCCAAGATATGTTGCTAGACGTCTCGGTCTCCCCCTCATAGTTCAGGACACGGCAGGACTCCCCTTCCCAGCTAGGCTCACTGTCTACTTGGTTGCTCAGTCCCCTATTAGGAAGCCCTGCTTCAGGCATCAAGGGAGACTAATGCCGCTGTCTCAATGACTTGTGAGCAGCGCTACTTAGACCAAGGACTTAGGCCAGTTAGCTTCTCTTGGCTTCAATTCCACCCGAAGAGCCACCTCAGAAATGCGAGGTGGTCATCCTAAGGGTGCACAAAAGCTGCTTGGTATAAGCGCACGCCCACTGCTAGAAGCGCCTCAACCTGCCAGCAGTCAGCAGCACCCTCTTCATGGACGAAGGCAGCCTCTTCTCCAAAACAAAGACAGGGCATTTTATCAAGATGTCTCTGAAAAGCCAAAACTGTATGCTACATGTCTAAAGTGGCACAGAGCTTTAAGGCAGAGGCCACGGCACAGGGTCTAGGTCAGGCAGCTGTCCTCAGCCACAGCTCACTCACCGAGGAGCAGCAGCACAAGGATGACAATAAGAACCACAAAGAATGTGTTGCTGTAGGTCACCACCAACTCCACCAGGCGGGACTTGAAAATTTTCTGCCATCTGTGAAGGAGAGATGGAAAAGATGGGGCTGAAGAGAGCACACACACATTGGGGAGCCAGGGCCCTGAGCAGAACAGAAATCCAGCTTTGTGCTCTTCTCCAGTGGCTAGCCAGCCCACCCAAAGTCAGCCTCAGCTCTCGCAACTGTCCAATTTATGACATCCCCTCAAGAACGTTTGTTTTTTTTTTTAAAAAGATGATGCTTGTTCATGTATAGAAATGTCTAGAATACCAGTCTGAAACACTGGTAGTCTCCGGGGAGAGAGACTTACTGTTAACTATACTCCGCTTCATACTATTCAAAATGTTTGCCATGTACACGTTATTTCTTCAAATTATCTTTCCACATGACAAATCTTAGTACATCTAGACCCCTAACACCCTGGGTTATTATGAAACAAACCCCAGAACTACCATCATTTCCATCCGCAAATATGAGGGTATTCCAGGATGTAGCTCTAAAAAAGAGCCTTCAGAAGTGTTTTCATGGGCCGGCCCGTGGCTCACTCGGGAGAGTGCGGTGCTGATAACACCAAGGCCCTGGGTTCGGATCCCATATAGGGATGGCCAGTTCGCTCACTGGCTGAGCGTGGTGCTGACAACACCAAGTCAAGGGTTAAGATCCCCTTACCGGTCATCTTTTAAAAAAAAAAAAAGAAGTGTTTTCATATTGTTAAAATCAGCAAGAAGCCCTCATTATCAGACCCAGAGTTCAAAAGTCCAATCAATGCATTTTATTTTTTTTTACAGTTGTATTGAAATCGGGACCCAATAAGGTCCTCATTTGGCATTTAATTTGTAAGTATCTTATGTCTCTCTTATTCTATAAGTTCCCTCTTCTTTCTCCCCCTTTTGTTTTCTTTTACAATTTACTTTGCAAAAGCTAGGTTGTCTGTCCTATAAACCTTCCCAGATTGCAGCTCCATGGGGCCCTCTGTCTCTGCATTTCCTCTGAATTGTATGCAGGCTTGGTTTTCAGCAAGAACGTTCTTAGGTAGTGTTGAGTACTTCCTATGGTATCACATCAGGGGTCTGTATTTTTCATCAAAAAAGTTTTTAAAAATATCTGTGGAAACTGAGCCTTATTCGTAATATTCTAATTTAAATATTGATAATGTGTTCATATATCACATGTAATTAAAAATTAATTTCCAATTAACTTTTAACAGGTCCTCTGTTCATTAAAAGGGAATATGGCTTCATCCTTCAAAGGCTGAGTAATGCTCACGAGGCTACTACGCAATGCCAGTGAGACTGGTTAGGAGGACAGAAGTCACTAAATCAGCAACAATGTGGCCCAGTGGTGCAAGTCTTCTGGATCCCACATTGCCATCCCCCACACATTGGGGACCCAAGGGTAGGCAGGAGAGCATCATTTACAGAACCAAAACTAGAGACAGATCTTCCCTTTGGGGCATTCTGAAGTCCAGAAGGCAGGGTGCACAGGAAAGGAACTCAGCAAGATGTGACAATGCAGAACTGTGTGGATGGATGGCAATAATAAACACAATCCCTGCCACCCCCACCCCAGACAGGTTCTACCTGATTCCATCGGGCCCTAGCTCTGCACACACAAGCCACCCACATGCTTGCCTTCTAGCTCCCCAGGCCATACCTTTTGGGAGAAATGAAGGGAATGCAGAGAAGCAACACAGCAAAGACCTCTGCATAGAGGAAGGTGGCAACTGCAGTCCACTGCAGACTCATCCTGTCGCTAGAAGGCTTCCAACAGGGATATGGGAGCTTGTTTCCTGGCAGGGCACAGAAAGAACAGGAGCCATGAGAGGCGGGCAGCCACTGACATCCAGTGTAGGTCCCCTGAGAAGCCGGGCTGCCACACTTCACCCTGCTTCAGAGTCTGTGAAGCACTGGCGAAACCTGGGCTCGATTCGGCAGGGCTACTTGACCAATAGTGTTCGAAGGCCTGACCAACTTCCGTTTGCTAGCACAGCGTTACTTGCTGCCCCTCCAGCATGCGTGTTAACACGTCCAGAGCCACCTTCCTTAATGATTCCTTCCCCCCGGGAGTCCAAGAGACTCCTTATGCCTGCTCAACTGAGAAACCGTTCTCCATGAAGAGCAATACACTAACAGAAGAATATCCTCAACACTCATCAGGCCTGCTCCCTTCCCAGCCAAGCGGAGCTCTGCTGCACAGGTTGGGCGTTTTTCAAACCCCTGCTACCAGCCCCGGGACCGCAGTGTTTCAGTAACCGCATCTTTTCCAAAAGCTGCTGGCGCCTCCCCCCAACACACCACCACTCCCCGGAAAACCAGGAGGCCCTTCTCTCCCCAGCCCTTCCGACGGGGCCCAGAGAAAACCAGCAGCCTCCTACCGGGGCTGCATCAGGCGAGTGCTGCTTTTGCCTCCGATGGGCGGAAGGCCTCGGGGTGCCTCGAAAAGGCCCACAAGAGCGACTCCTAGAGGGCAGGAGTCCAGGCCAAGAGCAAATGCAGATCTCGACTGACCACCTCAACGCCCCATCCAGGGAAAGTTCTAGAAAAAGCAGTCTCCTCAGAAGCCTGAGGAGCGCTCCCGGGGGCCATGGTGAGCCACAGCTCCCACCGAGCTCAAGACTGCCCGTGCGGTATCCGTGGGCCCCCGACGTGGCCGTGGCCCTGGCCCGACACACCCTCCCCAAGGCCCACCCCGGTGGCTCCTCAGGGTGGGGCTTCGCCGCCACCCCCGCCCTCCGCGTCCGGCCCTTGCGCCTCCGAAGCCCGGCTCCACCCGCCGCCGCTCGATTTTCCTCCGCCCGGCCCTGGGCCCCGAGAGTCCCCGAGCCCCACAGTCTCTCTGCGCTGCCCGCCCCTCCCCTTGTCGAGCGGCTGAGGGAGCCTGAGCGGCGCGGGAGCCCAGCCGGGCGAG